GCTGATCCCCAACAAGGGTCAGCGCAGGAGTGGGTCCTTGCCATTCTTGGAGAAGACCTTTGCATTTCGATGGAGCAAAGCATAGCTCAAAACGATTGACAGCCAGTGATAATCGGTCCAATGCATTCTTGCACGTTTGGACGCTGTCACGTATGAGGGCAATGTCGTCCGCGTACTCCAAGTGAAGAAGTCGCTCACCAGGAAGTAGCTCCACACCTTGCAGATCATGTCCAGCGAACGCTGTTTCAATGACTCCATCAATAACGAAGTTAAATAGGAAAGCTTACTGCGGGCAACGTTGTCTCGCACCGCTTGAAATTTTATAGGGTAGCGACAGTTTGCCATAAACACTCACTGCTCAAAATATACGCGTACAGCGCTTTGCCAATGTTTCTTTACTGGGCACACCTTTTCTGAGCAGATAATCCGAATAGGCACATCGATCAACCGAATCAAAAACACCTTTTATGTCGAGAAAGACGAAAGCGGTAGGTCGCAAATAAACCTGGCGGTGCTCCAACAATGGACGCAAACTGAAGATGTGGTCGGTGCAACCTCGATTTCAACGAAACCCAGCTTGCTCTTCGCGGATCTGGCCTTCACGAGCGCCAGTCAATGGAGAACGACAGAGTCAGATAATTTAGATGCAATTGAGAACAAACTGATCCCTCTATGGCTGTCGCATTCCGAACTACAGCCCTGCTTGAAATTTGGGACTATGACGGAGTGGCTCCAGTCTGTCTTGGCAGCCTCCTGCTCCAAAGATACATCAGCAAATTATTTACCATGGTGGTTGCCGTCCCTCGTAGCTCAGTGGTCTCAACCACGTACTGGCCACAGCCGAGTTGCGGTTTCGAGCCGTACCAGAGTCCGATGGAATACTCACTGCTTACGATTGCCAAAAGAATGAAACGCGCGTACAGTGCATTTCCGGGCGTGTGACGGCTGTCTGAATGAGTCTACATGTGCGATGAATTTCTAACTATAAAACTTGAATCTCACTACCACTCTTCCGTAATCAGTACACAGACCAAACTGCGTATGACGCCAAAAGATAATTGGCAGCTTAATTTTGATAAAATCGTCGCTTGTTGACGAGGATACCCTGTCCTCTGCATGGCAGTGTCGCGTAAGTCACTGGATAGTGAGCGGCGCTTTATCATTGTTACAATAATTTAGGGTGGTCGTTGCTGTCCCCCGTAGCTCAGTTGTCTCAATCACGGACTGGCAATAGTCGAGTTGCGGGTTCGAGCCGCACCAGGTTCGATGGAATCTGCACTGCTTACGATCCCTGAAATTATGAAACGCGCGTACAGTGCATTTTCGGGCATGTGACGTATGTCTGAGTGAGTCTAGCTGTGATGCATTTCTACCTATAACATTCAACTCCCCTACTACTCTTCTGTCCGTCGCAACGAGGTTGAGCCTTAACGTGGTGCGACGGTTTGCGTACCTCATTGACGCATTGAGCTGTACTGGGTGATGCCTACGGGCACCTTGAGAGATACTGGTCAATGGTGAGAGGTCAGACAAACTCAGTCTCCTGGGCTTCCAAGTTAAGGATTTGAAACCGAATGGCGTCCACTTCTGTAGAACTAAATTATTGCCTCCTCCCCGCTGCCTTGCGGACAGGCTTTTGAGCCAAAGGCTTTGGATAAGGGCCCTAATCGTCCTCCTGTCTAGGTCTGGGCGCCCTGGCAGTATCTCAGCCCACACACAACCATGACATTTTCTTCAAATTTAAACTTCATCCTGCATCGGCCGTCGCGCAGATTATCAAGGGTCGCCTTATCTGCTGCATACATCAAGGCTTATAAGCAACAACATGCTACTGCTGGCTCTTCCCTCCATTCTTTTCCACATTTTTATCTTGCTCCCATTCCGGCCCCCATTAATAACCTTCCTTCTATAATCCCAGCTTAATTGACAGCAACCGAAGTGCTACTGGAGTTGAACCATCTACAGCCACCATCCCACAGCACCTATCGGACGCCTATCGGCAAAAGTCCCTTATAAGGCCACGCTATCCCGTTTCCATAGCGACATTCAACGTTCGCACTCTAAGACAAACAGGTCAACAGGCTGCACTCGCATGCACCTTGGACACACTGGGTATTGAGGTGTGTTGTGTGTCCGAAACTAGGATCAATAACCCTAACGGGGTTATTGAATTAACTGCACCCGGCTTATCCTCTCGTTATTTTTTGCACGCATCCGGAGACGCCGATGCAGCATTCACGGGTCAAGCTGGTGTAGGTATCATTCTAAGCTCCAACACTGTGCCATTGTTCGTTGATTGGATTCCGGTGAACAGCCGTTTATGTGCAGCCCGTTTGACGACATCAGCTAAGGTTGATTCACGAAGTCGTACAAAACGCTGTTTGTTTGTGATTTCCGTTTATGCTCCCACCGACTGCAGTTCTCATGCAGTCAAGGACACTTTCTATCACGAACTGAACACGCTACTACGCATTGCTACTAGTTCAGATATTATAGGATTTGCAGGGGGATATGAACTCACAAGTAGCGCGTATGAGCTCTTCAGAAGCTCCTGGACAGTGGCCGATCGGAGTGAATCGTCTTTTCTGGTCATTGGTATACTGCCGATAAAATAACCGAAGCCTAACATGTCTCGTAGGCCTGTTAGGGTTTTCAAACGAAAAAGAGACACAACTTGAAACGATGAAGCCGAAAACAGTGGACTTACTGAGCAAGACTTCTTTTGTATGAATGGTTTACATTTGATTTAGCAATTTAAAGTGTCACCGCTCTTAATTTTCCTAGAAAACCGGTGCAGATTGATGCGATTTTACTTTCCAAAGGTGCGGATGGTTCGTGTGTGTTATCTAATGAGTACAACGCGATTGGCACATTGTTGACGCGATCGTCGAGCACAGCCAATGTAGGGGCTGCAATCACAGGTTCTGGGAATGAATTCCATGTGTCAAACACATAGGGAAAATTCTGTTTACACTCAAGCCGATTGTCTTGTTCCGTCAGTTTGAAGATTTGGCCTCTGATTTTGTCGTTGTGGCTGAACTTTAGGAGATTCTGACACAAGTGATCAGTGATGCTTAAAATCTGGTAGACGGTGATAAGTTCACCATGCTAGTGCCTATAGCATCCACTGAAAATTCCGAATACTCAGGCGCTGTTCTTAAGGTAAATGGTATAGGCTTTTGACGTTTTTGGTGTCCCGACTTTGTCGAATTTCCAATATATAGTAAGATCGCGCTTCAGTCATGGCAACTATGCTTCGATCACATATTTTACGTGCGGGTGCATGTATGTAGAAAGCAACTGGAGAAAATGGTTGGGTCCAAGTGACCAGAAGCTATGCTTAAGAGCCCCAAGTTTTTGATGTCCTTCTTCTGATACTACTACAGATTGCTCCGAGCAACCAACTTCTTCCCCAATCAGTACATGGGATCTTTTCCATGAGAACAGTCCTGGAGATCCTTGTCACCCAGCATATATGTGTGAAGTACTTGGGGTCGTAGATGGAATACTTGATATTTAGTTACGTGAAACTGAGGACGATTTTGGATTAAGCATTCATCAACGTTGTCCAGATCCTTTTGAATCTGTATGTGGTGGTCTGGAAGTTTGATCGGTCGCCAAACCTTGATGTCGTCGCCATAAAGCAAACACTGTGAATTGGTCAAGCCCACTAGATAGTTATTGGCAAACAGGAACAGACGGGCCTTATTATTAAACTTTGTGGTACATCTCATTCCAGTTGTACAGGATTTAATACAGATTAGCGACCTTTCACCTCCAAACGCCTGTGCATGGTGAAGTTGCCGATCCACCCTAAGAGTGGATCACCAATGCTATAATCCTGAAGGTTGGCTAGAAGTACGCAATGGTTCGACCTGTGGAACGCCTAAATGAAGTCAAAGTAGACAACAACACCTGCATCTACTATTTCCATCCAGCTGGTCCGTACTGACAATAGATTGGTTGTGTACGACCGTTCCGGCGGAAGGCGTGTTGCTGTTGTGCGAGATAGCTAAGCTTGTCAAAGTAAGAAATGAGCCCCTCAGCAATGCTAACCTCCATGACTTTTGAAAGGACTGGAAGAAGTCACTGGACGGTAGTTAGCTGGATCGGAACGACTGACTTATCCGTACATTGGAGTTATTATCCCATGTTTCCATGCTGTATCCGCATGCATCTCGTCAAGATAATGCTGGGAGAACCACACCAAGTGTGAGGCCAATTTCTTAGCTGATCCAGTAAAAGCATTCGGGCGATTACTGTGAATTCCGGGAGAGCTGTGTGGCCGCACAGCTAACAGTTTTCTCACTAAAATGTCTACCGCAAAGTGGATATTGGTATGTCTTGGCGGGGAAAGCGTAATACTCCCTGGTATTTTTCGGTACTCGTTTTTTGATGCAAGGTGGCTGAACTAAACGGCTGCTGATAATCTACTGGTACCAGATATATATTTGAGAATGCAAATGGACCTTGTACTTGCCCTTATTACACGCGGCCGTGAGTGTTGACTCAGTTATGTTTCATATGATTGCCCGTTTCAATGGTGTGTTTCCAGCTAGGTAAGCAGCCTCTCAGTAAAGGACCTAGACACTGCGTTTGGTTAGCTATTACCTCGGTAGCTCCTGGAGTGCCGCGGGAAGACATTATAAACATAGAGCTTTCTCCTAGTTCTGGTTGCTGCACACTGCAATACTAATCAGCTCCCACTTGACCAACGATTGTCTTGTAGCTCAAAAGTATGCACTATAGAAGTAAAGCTGACGAGGGCCGCACGATTTCCCTGTCGCGCAACAAAGACTGCCTCGCTCTCGTTTGAAGAGCTTTTGGTTCACCTGGAAAGCCATTGCAGTCTATTAAAATTGTCATCGGATATAATCTGTGCTTGTCAAAGCATTTATTTTCCGCCTCACATCCATCTATCACCTATGGATTCATTACCAACCCGATTTGATATTTGGCTGCGGAGCCGCCTGATTAATCTTCTTTCATCAACCGTTTAGATTGAACCGGGCGGCACAACACGAAATGGAGTTGGATTTGAAGAACAAATTCACGGCTCAGCAAATTGACGAGACAGCGGTGGGAATGAAGAATAGTTCTGCCGGTGTGCACTACTACGAAGGGGTGGAGAATATAGACCACTGGTGAGTGTGCCTGATTTGCAGATTCGGACTGGTACTGCAAAGCGGTCAAGCTCTGAGCGATGTATGCTGTCACTGCGTTTGTCTGAAATACGCTTTATGCTAACATTTATGGACTGTTTCAATGTTGATCGCTCTCGTTAGTTGATAAGGAGACCGGTTACAACCCAGTTCGTGCTGTCCTCATGGAAGTATCCGAATTGCAACTTACCCTACTGCCTCCTTTAGTCAAGGCCATGCTGACTATTGTTGTGCAAGGGTTTAGCTAACGTAGAGTCACCTTCCCTGGCATGACCCTGGTGGATGAAATATTCGCACTCTACTTAGAGACAAGCTGGATTCTATGTAAGATAGTTTTCCTTCAGCTCCCTCTGCAATTAACTATTTGTTGATGTTGTGCTCAGCTATTAAACAGCGTTTTTAATCAGGCACTGTTTAACTACTCTAAAAAATGATGAGTTCTTCAACTGCACTCAATGCGTCTCTATTACAACCGAGGATGCTAGTCCCCTCAGGTGCCTGAGTTGCGGAATGGCTTCCCCTCAACCTATTCAGAGCGGATAGCAAAAGTTGCTCCAGGATGTTCAACAGTGGGGAGCTCATTTGACGCATCTGCTAGACTGATGTATAGTTCCATTACATGCGCAGGAATGAATGTGTGTATTAGTTGTACGCATCAAAGCCGTACTCACTAACCCTACGAAAAAGAGAAAACATCGTGTGAAAAACACAAAAATCTTTTCTTTGTTTCCCACTTGTAATCGTACTCATTATGCGCTTCCATTCCACGGCTTTCGATGTCTCTATGTTTATTCTATGGTTGGCGGCATCTGGTTCCCGAGTTGCCTGTCGCTGCGACCTCCATGGGGACAGCCACAGGACGCCTGCGCCTACAGTGGAACCATGGATAGCTTGTGTTGCACCACTCACAGCTCCACCCACACACCCCATATCCGGTGTAAGCCTGAAGGAATAATACCGGGAGGCATGTGGACGGGATCCACGTTTCGTCAACGGAGCCGGCCCACACTCCTTCAACAAGCAGACCAGAAGCATTTCTGTTTATCTACCTAGGGAGTCATGCGTACCAGATGTACATAAGATGGTGGCTGGACCGTAGGCCACTCCACACTGAAAGCATGGAACCAGTGTTTGAGTCTAGCACGGTCACATGGACCTTGCACTCCGTCCACCCAATAACGATTAGCAGTCTGGAGCTAATAATCGAGGTGGTGGGTATTAGACAGCTTGACATCATGTCAATACTCACATCAAGCGCAGTGACACTGGAGATATCGAATAACAAACGCGGCATTTGAAGGAAAATAACCACACAAAATTGACACGGGATACTCTACAGAATAACGGAACTGAACAAATCAAATAAAGTGGAATACTTTTTATAGAGATTAAGAAAATGTCGTTTAAATGTACTTCGGTGTAGTCCAGCTGCAGTGAAGACGCATGACGAACGCAACATCAACCTCAACATGAGGCATATATATATATATATATATATATATATATATATATATATATATATATATAATTTAGCTTAACACATTAGAACTGGTTCAGTCGCAGTTGTAGGATACCAGGACATCGGTGGGACCACTGATTGTGGAAGGATATGGTAGTGGCATTGATTTAACCTTGGAGGCTTGTGCTTAGCTCTTGTGCCAAGATCTTTTGTTCGTCCTTCGCTTGTAATTGCACATAGTAGTACAAGCGTTTCTGCATCAGCATCAACCACAACACATCTTGACATGTCCTTTTTCCCCAAGCCAATCTGTTCCGGAGACGTGGAATCAACACGTGGCTGACATTGTGAATCGTAGTCGAGCAGAACGGGCTGCCAGCCGTAAAGTTCGTGAGGACATCGGAAACAATCTGGCTCAAATCGGACAATATCTTGCTGAACGGTGGGCAGATGTAAATGCTGCGTTGGCCGAACGCATTCGTGAAGTTACTGATGCTCGGAACCAGATCCAAGCAAGTTTGGGTCACGTAAGTGGTGACAGTGCTACCTAACCGTACTGCGAATATGCGTGTCTTCCAGCAGGTATTGTACTACCTTCTAACTTGTAACCGTTGTGTCAACCACTGCTCACGGAGCTCAAGGGCCTAGTGATCATGGAGATAGCTGCCAAGCACTATGCGCCGAGTTCCACTCCCAGCTCGGCTGTCTCTACCTGATGAGTACGAAGCATGATAAAACTGTCGGTCTTGGAGTGCAGAGATAGGAGAGCGCCACACCAAAACCCTCCATTTTGCGTCCTCTTGGTCCATCCGCACACACACACACACACGATAACACAGCATACGCAATAAGCGAACTACTTTCGGTTCTCAATTGTACATAGATGTATACCGGGAATTTCATACTTACAAAACCCATAGCCTGTGAGCGCATTCTCTGTGTTATATACTAATAAATATCTTTTCAAGTCACCAAATTGCTTTATGCAGCCTTCATAGGGGAATATTCAGCTACAACACATACAATCTCGCCAAGGTACCAAAAAACAAACCAGTAGCAAAACAATACGACAAAGAACGGGTAGATTGGGACAAAAGTCACAGTCAAGTTGTAACTCGACTGGTTACCTCAAGGATGACAGAGTTGGGGTCTCGCGAAAGACGCGAGAGGTGAGGGATGACTGACGAGCGGTAAGCTTGTGTGCGGGCATAGATTAGCTTGTACTTCTGCCGAGTAGATGAAGTTGAGAAACATTCAGATAAGGCTTTAGGTAAGAGATGACTCGTATCGGTCAGTATCTTAGAAGCCAACTTTTTACAAGAACTGGTATGAGTAGAAATAAGAGTGTAGATATCGGAACACTGTTACATCGAGCTAAGTAGTTTAACGATCTGACAATCAACTTAATATGCTTACCCAAAAGACCGGGAAAGATCACAGGGGAACAGTACGTCCAATGGGGATGAACACAGGTATTGACAAAGCGGACGATGAACTCACGAGAAACGCAGGAGACTCTGAGCCGAGAGACGTAGAATGACAGCCTTCTGACTTTTGTGAAAGTTTCATTTGCTTAAAACGTCCAAAATAAATCGCAACTCAGTCACACCCAGATATTTTACTGATGTGGAAGACTGTAAGCCGTTGTTTTCAATATGTAACTTGTTACACGGTGTAAGGAGCTCCTCGTACCTAGCTCTTTTTGTGTAAGGAAAAAAGAATGTCGTGGCATTGAAGCATTAAGAGACATATCACGGGATTTGGACCAGCCATTAACATCGTTCAGAAGCGCTTGTACTCTGAATGAACAATCAGCGCTTTGGTAATTGATGCCCAGCACGTTATCGTCCGCATATTTTACCAGAGTCGCTTCAGTCAGTGCTGGCATAGAGCTGACGTAAATAGAAAAGAGAAAAGGCGACAGAATCACTCCCTGAAAGACACCTGCGTTGATGAGTAGTGGGGAGGAAGATCGGCCACTGACCCGGATGATCTGAGTGCGTTCAGAAAAATAACCACTCAGTAAATAGACAATGGAGGGATGTGCTCCTTGAGTAAGTAGGTCTTCTAGTAGTAATTCCCGGTTTACACAGCAAATGCATTACTGTAGTCAAGAAAACGCATCCGAGTTGCTTTATTCCTATTGTCAAGCGATGAGAGTACAGAATGTAGGAGGTAAGCCACAGCACTAGGGTGCACCTCGAACTACGATAGGCGAACTGGAGGGGGTCGTTAGAGCGCGTTCTGGACGGTATCATTTCGAGAATGACTTTCTCCAGAACCTTCAAAACAACGGAAATGCACGCGGTAGGTCGATATTTCTTGGGTCCTTTTTTCGGCACTGGTGTAACGTTGACACTTCTCCAGTAGTCGGTTATTTTGTGTTGCTGCATACACATTGTGTATATACTCGAAAGAGGTGTTGCCAGACAGTCGTCATATTCATTGAGTAAGGTAGGATATAGCATGTCCGGCCCACTAGCTTTACCAGAACGTAGATGTTTCAGTAGATTATTTACAGTTGCACTATCAACGGGAGGCAAGGGTTCAGCAGGCCCCAGAACTTGGGCACAGGAAGACTCTGGCGCTGTAGTAGTTTTACACTTTCAGAACTCCTGATTCAATTTCTCTACATCTACATCAGAGTAGGGCGAACGTCAACTACGCTAAGCATATTCAACATCCTCGAGGGTTGACGGGAGTTGCCGTTTCCAAGAACAGACTAGACATACACTTTGTTAAGACGGTGTAGCTCTTCCTTGGTACGCTCTGTAGGAGATCTTACTGAGGTGTCGTTTCTACTTTAAATGCTTTCTACTTAAATCGGCGTAGCCGCTTCAGTATTAGCCAAATTCTTATAAATTTATGGAATTCAGCTAACTTTTGTCATATTTCTTCACATTTCTCGTAAGAAACAAATGATTTCACTCTAAACTGGTTGCATTTTACAAGAAAATCTGATCCTGATTAAAAATTCATCAAGGTTAGTATTTTGAAATGATCCCTTGACAATTTTCAGTGTTTTAACATGCAAAATCATGGGTATAAATGAAATGTTGCAAGGTTGGGTCATGCTTTCACTGCTTGCCCGGATCGCTATAATTTCTTCAATGAGCTGTTGCTTATTTATTATAATTTGTTTCTTCATCTCTGACTTTAGAATTGCCCATACTTTCTCTATTGGATTCATCTCAGGGCTATTACCAGACCCTGGTGACACTTTAATATTACAACCCTTAAGAAAACGGGTTACTTCATGCCCCTTGTGACCTTGAGCACTGTCATGCATGAAAATGAAGTCTCCTGTCCCTGTAAATCCTTTTTTCTTTGCCCATTCACACAGCTGGGGGATCAGTTGATGCTCTAGTAGTGTTTTGTACTGCTGCTGGTTTATGTTACCATGGACGATGTAGAGCCGACCAGTTCTGTAGATGCTCATAACGTTCCATATCATGGCGTGAGCGGCATGCTGGACTTATTGAAAAATACAGTCTTCTCTTATCTGTTCTGCAGGTAATCGCCGGACATAGAGAGATTGCTGGTCAGAGCACCGAATGATACACTCCTCGCTGAAAACCACCTAAAATTAAACACAGAAAAGCTCTTGGAAATACCAAAGCAATGTAGTCACAATATTTCTCAAGAATTCTTATAAAGGTTTTGCTTCATACCAGCTCCCAGTCAATTTTGACCCTTTTTCAAGCTGTTTGGCCCATTCCCGTCGTTTTCCTTTCGTTTGTTTGGTCAACTTTTGCTTCCTCAGGTGTCTGCAAGCGCGTAGCCCAGCATCCAAAAGTCGTCTTTTTACTGTTCTAGAACTTAATGCAAAACCATGCTGTTTTGAAATCACTTGTAGCTGTCTGCTCCATGTTTTGCGATTCTTTCGGCATTCCCTAAGCAGAAGTGAGTCGTTTTGAGCTGTTGTTGCTCTTCTGCGACGAAATTTACTGGAGCGTTTAGGAGACAGTGGTAAATACCTTTCTCTTCAATTTCTTTCGGATCTGGCATACAGATGCTGGGTTAACACCAACCTTAGTAGCAGTTTCTGATCCTTTAACACCTTTCAACAGATTTCCATTTTTAACGCTTTAGATGGTTGGGTCACGTAATTTACCCAATAATATGCTAATACAATCTATAAACTATCCATCAATACGATTGGGTCATTACTCGAGAAGGTGCCGTGAAAAATTGAACTAATAGTAATTAAATATAATGATCTTTTAATCCAAAAACAGGTAAATGTAACCCAGAAATGTAGCCTCAGTAAGAAATAACAAATCAAGCTAAAAATTATAACCGTCGGTTTACGCAATTACCGTACATGTAGCATCAACTGATTTGTAATCATTTGGAAAACTCATTCGCTCCATGCCTTTGCGTGTTATCACTGAAAATTGCCAAAGGATCATTTACAAAATACTAACCTTGATGCATTTCTAATCAGTATCAGTTTTTCTTGTAAAATGTAAGCAGTTTAGAGTAAAATCATTTGATTCTTGCGAGAACTGTGAAGAAATATGAAAAACGTTAGCTGAATTCAACAAATGTGTAATAATTTGACCAACACTGTATATGTTGGGGAACAGTCTAATTTATAGACTTAGAGCGATCCATAACGATGGAGTCAACGGATGCGCTGGCAGATACAATAGTCACAAGAATAACAAGACGCTGCGTTGTCATTCGCTTCACAACACTTTATCCGAATGTCTCTCAACTGCATCCAGTAGGCCGAAGTAGCAACTGCTATATACTCGCACACAAGACTACCGCTCATCTACTATACTTTATCTTTCACGTTTTCTGCGAGATCTCTACTCTGCGATTCTAGAATTAACCAGCCGATTCGCAATAGGATAATGTTTCGTCCATTTTTTATTTAAACTACTTTTAGGGTACTGTTTTGTAGTTACATTGATGAGCTCGTGTGTGTGGTAACTGCATATTCACTCGATGTGATGATGATGTGATGTTGCTTTCATAATCATTGTCATCTTTTGAATCAGTTGAACAATGACTTGGGTCCATACAATCATATACACTTATCTTCTCCTGTTTTCTGTTGCACCGTTTCATGAAATATTTCTAGCCACGGGCATTCCATTATGTTTGGTCCGCAACCAAGCAGACTTGTGAATCCATCGGCTGCTGGACATGAAGTCAGTAATTTCAAATGATGCTGCTAGGTGAACGCTTGACCATCACGTGATCTCTTCCAGCGGAGTTCCGCACAGGTGAAAAGGGCTCGACGGGGCAAACGTTCAGCTGATATACGCAGAACGTGACCGAACCATCTTAACTGGCGCAGCAAAAGCAGATATTTGAAGGGAATATTCGCATTCTCTAAGACTCGACATCTGCCTTCACCGTAGAAGATGCGCTGTTGCCACTACACGGTGTAGTGGCGCAGCATTCAAGAATTTCAGACAAGGCAGAAGATCCACAGAAACCAAGGGAGACTAAGGCTCGCGCCAGGGACGAAAGGCAGTAAAGAAGCTCGAGGCCTAAGGGAAGAGCGAGGGAT